GGGCGCCCCATACCCACGTCCTCTCTCCAGACAATGCTCAGGACTATCAGTGGATCGGCCTGAATGACAAGACCATCGAAGGAGACTTCCGCTGGTCAGATGGACACTCCTTGGTGAGTTCTACTGGGGGCACCCGGGATAGCTGGCGGCCCAGAGGAGATGAATAAAGACCCCCAGAGAGAGACACATTCAAATCACATGCAAACATTCACTGAGCAGCTGCTGGACCGGGAGCCCTGAGATCAGAGATTGTGTCTCGTTCTTGTCCCTTTAGAGACCAGCCCAGGGCTGCACAACTGAATAATGGCATGAAAGGAAGGGTGAGGGATGAGGAAGGCAATGAATGAATGAAGGCAAACCACCGAGAGGGAATGTGGAAGCTTTAGAGTGGTTCCTTGCCCATAGAGGACTCGAGTCCACTCAAGGAGACAGACAGACAGATAGAAAGCAACATAGATGCCAGCTGAACAGTACACACAGTAAATGATGGAGGTCAGCAAAGGACCTCAGGGAAGGCTCCCCGGAAGAGGAGAATATGAACAGGGTCATGGGGGAGGGGAGCAGTTACATTAGAGGAAAGGGGACTTGTTTGTCCCTGAGTCAGGCTAGAGGGAGAAGCCTGGGATGGCAGAGTCTGGACTTGCGAGCCATATCTCCACCTCCCAGTCCTGCCCAAGCAGGCAGCCTGGGTGACCAGCCCCGTTGGCCCATGTGGAAGAGGAGAGTGTCGTCAGCTCATTAACAGGGACTGTGAGTCCTGGGGGCTCTGAGTTCCTGACAAGGACCACAGCCAGGCGGTGTGAGCAGTTCTTTGGAGGGCCCGGGTTCCGTGGCACCTGGGATAGCCCTGACCAGACTCCCAGCAGTCTTTGTGCCCCCGCCAGAAAGGGGCTTGATGTGGAGGGAGAGCAGGGGTCCGGCCAAGCTGTACTGTGGCTGCCCCCTCCTCACCCCTTCCCCACTCCCACCCACAGCAATTTGAGAACTGGCGCCCCAACCAGCCTGACAACTTCTTTGCCACTGGGGAGGACTGCGTGGTGATGATCTGGCATGAGAAGGGCGAGTGGAATGACGTTCCCTGCAATTACCAGCTGCCCTTCACGTGTAAAAAGGGCACAGGTAAGCAGCAGCCTGGGAGGGATAAGCAGCGTGGAGAGAATCAAGACTCCAGGCTCCTGCTGTGTGACCTGGGGCGAGTCACCCGGACTCCTGGCTGTTGAGGTCACCTCACCCGCCCAACTAGCAGATTGGAGCTGACCTGGGGGGCCACTCCCAATGCCAGCATCCCAGAGGTGATGGAAAGGGCCAGCCCACTAGGGACAGGGAGAGGGTGAAGGTCACAGGAGGACAGACCCCCTCCACACATATGGTGCCTTGGATATCAGCACAGAAAGTCACCCACAATCACACATAGGTTGGGAGCCTCCCTCTCTGGGGTTCCCAAGCCCGTCAGTCGCAGAGTCTGAGTTGTCAGCCTTGATCATCAGCTTTAAGTCTGTGGACACCTAGGTGCAGGTAGGACACTCCCCACCTGTTCCCGCTCCTGGCCTCGTTCCCCTCCCTTGCCCCCAAGGCCTCCTTTAGTTCCCACTTTCCCCTGCATCACTGTTTTCATAGAGAAGTCACAGTCTGCCCAGCTCTCGCCCTCTTTCCCCACCTTTCTCCCTTTTATTCCCTTACTGCTGCTCTAAATCATGGAGGAACCCAAATGTTAGAACCAGTGTTTTCCAGATTCTTAGTGCGGCATGAAAGCACCCCTTCCCCAGCAGTCAGGGCTCACTGCTGGGTGTTCAGGCTCCGTGCCCCTTCCTTGGGCTCTGAGCCCATCTCCTCACAGCCAGAGGGGGCCATACTGGCTCATGACCAGCATGGGGCATCACGGGAGACCCTCTCAGAGCCCTTTCTGAAGGGTGTTTGCCCCTCAGTGGCCTGCGGAGAGCCCCCCGTGGTGGAGCACGCCAGGATCTTCGGGCAGAAGGACCGGTACGAGATCAATTCCCTGGTGCGGTACCAGTGCACCAAGGGCTTTGTCCAGCGCCATGTGCCCACCATCCGGTGCCAGCCCAGCGGGCACTGGGAGGACCCTCGGATCACCTGCACAGACCGTGAGTATCGCCCCACACAGCGTTAGATACTGCCAACACGTCCTCCTCCCTGACCCCCGCTGTCTGCACCGTCCGTGGGCTCAATCACAGATGTCCGCTGCCCCCAGGGAGGGCTCACTTGCGCTGAGAAGGTGAAGATGAAAGCAGGTGGCCCACTTTCCTTTTCAACACCAGCCCCGAAGCCCCGAAGCCCAAGGTGGTTCCAAGAAAAGTCAAAACTGAGAAGTGGGTAAAGCCTCAGGCTGCCTTCCAGAGCCCATGGTTTCTGCAGGGAGGGGAGCCAGCGGAGAAGGGTCAGGACGGGGAGAGGCTGGGCTGGCCCACTTTCTTCCCAGGGTTCACCCAGATGTTTCCATCTCCCTTTCACCCCAGCCTCTACCTACAAGCGCAGACTACAGAAGCGGAGCTCACGGCCCCTGCGGAGGAGCCGCCCCAGCACGGCCCACTGAGAGGAGCTTCCAGGATGTGCCCAGGATGCTGAGCCCAGGAGCCTTGCCAGGCTGACATCCCACAGGGATGGTGTCCTCTCCTTGTCGCTTTCTGTCATATAAGGAATTCCATTAAAGAAGGAAAAAAAATAAATCCCACATTGTGTATGCACCCCCCACCCCCCCAAATCGCCAAAACTGCATCTAATTTTCCTCCCAAATGCCAAAGCAAAGCAAACGTATTGTAACCCGTGGACTGAGTTTAGAGACATTTCTTCAATCTCCCGTTGTGCCTTTCCAGGGACCAGCGCAGGGACAGGGGCAGAAGGGGAGGAGTTAAGTTAAATAAAGAAGGTAATTTTTTGTTTCCTGACTTTATCCAAGAGCAGTGCAATCGTTGGTTCTTTCACCTCCAGGGAGAGCTAGGGAGGAGGGAGGAAGGGGCAGAGGCCTGAGGGCATGAAGAGTGCGGAACCGCAGCTGAATGTATGGGATGAGACTGAGTCGGAGGACTGCACCATCTGTGCGGGGGAGAAGCCTGGGGGAGAGGGGGTGGCTTCCGGCCGCAGATGAGCGGGCAGGAGAGAGCCATTGAGGGATCTTCCGAAGCGTGGGGGTCGGGTCCCCTCCGAGGGACCCTTTTCCAGAGTCCTCTCACCCAGGTCTGCCACCCTAGCAGGTGTCAGATCTCGATCTCGGCAGGGCTGGGCGGGGGGCATTTCCTTCCCAGTGGGTGTGCCGCCCAACCCTCCCCCCTCCCTCCCCCACCCCCGGGACCGTGCAGGCACCAGGGTTCCGTGCACCTATTTATATTTTTGAAAACTAAAGATTATGATAATTATAATGATAATAAAGACATTGGAAGAGATCTTTTTCTTTTCTTTTCCCTTCTTTTCTTAATTTAAAGAGAAGGCGACCATGGTCCAGGGTCAACTGAAGGGGCTCTTAGGTATGGGGGCAGTAGGGACACGTTTTGATCAAATGACCCCGGATTCTTGCAAATCCTGCCTGATAAGAAAGCCTGGGACAGTCATACTTCTGGTGCTTTATTTTCGCAAGTGTACCTGTGCGGATGATGGATTGTGTGTGTGTGTGTGTGTGTGTGTGTGTGTGTGTGTATGTGAGACAGCCAACGGGTGCTGTGTATGGATTTGCCAGTTGGCATGCTGTCAAAGAACAACTCAAGTGAGACATCTGGCCACTATCCAGAGTTTGGTACTTTGATTTACACTGTTTGCTCACATAGGAAGAGTCGATTGGTAGAGAGAGTCCAAGAACAGAAGTAAAATCAGGATTTATAAGAGGGAAGAAAAAAATTGCAGACAGCCTAGGAACAGTGAATCTTGCTTATACATTTTTGAGGTCAAATGGTTACCTAGCCGCTAGCACAAAGGTCTGGGCATCCTGCCCTTAAGTAGGCTGTAGGATCAACGAAAACGATTTCAACTGTTTATGGATTTCCCTCAACAGACCTTGAGTCGAGCTGGAGTGTGCACTCCAGGCAGTGAACCTCCGCCAGCCTCCTCCTTAGAAGGCCAGGTCGGCGCCACCCTCTCATCACACTTGCTCAGCGGGCATTGATTCTGTGTTTATGAAGGTGTCTAGGTGTTGGTTAGTGTGTGCCAGTGTGAGTCTGCTAGTGTCTCTTTGAGTGTGTACGTGTGTGGTTGAGTATTTGTTGGTGAATATTTTTGTGTACCCAGGTTACCTACAAATCTGGAAACGATCAGTGGACAAAAGCAGAGGATGCAGCAATGGTCACATAGTAGGAACTCAATAATCATGCAATTTATTGATTAATTAACTGATTCATTGGGAACACGACTGTGTCAGTAGTTTTCAACCTTGAGCCTGCATCAGCAATGAGAGGGCTTGTGCTGGGTCCCACTCCAGAGTTTCTGACTCAGCAGGTCAGGGGTGGGGTCCAGAAATTTGCATTTCGAACACGTTCCCAGGTGAAGCTGGTGGTGCTGGCCACACTTTGAGAAGCACTGGGCTACGTGAAGGATAGTGAGTTACTGATTGTGGGTGACAGAGGTGTGCCTGTGCAGAGGCAAATGGTCTGGTTTCCTGAGGCTGACATGGGGGGCGGTGGGGGATAGACGGTGAGGCACAGAGAGGGCTGGACTCCAAGATCCTCTGCAGGGCACAGCTTCCTCTGGTCTCCCGAGAGGTACCTCCCACTCTTGTGCTGCGTCCACACAGACTCACAGCCGGGAGTGGGATGGTGGGAGAGTGAGCCAGCGCCTCCAGCTGCTAGGCCAGTCCCCGAGGCAGGGTGTCCCCAGGGCAGGCAAGGCCAGACCGCGGCAGCCCAAAGGTGCAGCCCATGGCGTTTCCCACCCACTCCAGTGGACAGACCCAGTCGACCTTTGAAGTCTGGGACGGAATGGTCCCCCATTCCCACCAGGCAGGGAGCTGGGCCCTAAGACTGAATGAGATAAAGGGTGAGACCCAGAGCACAGACTCGGGGTGGAGGAAGGGGTCACAGCACCATTTATTGTCCAAAAGAAAGTACACACACCTGAGGGCTGCTCCCCAAATAGGGAAAAATGAGAACGAAATATGGACTCTTTGGAACTAAGAAAAGGAAAAAATGGGGAGGAAAGTCTCTCTCTTCCCTGGGATGTCACACAGAAGCCCAGGGACCCGCTTCCAGCCCTAGCTCCTCCGCCATGCTGATATAGGCCAGCTGCTTGCCAAAGAAGTACGCGAGGGCAGGAGGCTGCAAGGCCCAAAGCCCAGCTGCACGGCCGCCCTGGATGCCCTCTCCTCCCTCAGGCTGATGCGGAGGGAGGATTGCAGCCACCACACCCTGGCATCTCGTGCCACTGCCAGCTCTGGGCGCCAGCCTCCCAGGGGCAGGGAAGAGGGGCTGGACTCAGCAATGGCAGAGAGCACGCTCGTGAGCCCACGAACCTCAAGCGTCCTGGAGGAGAGGGGCAGGAGGATTAGTGGAGGGGGAGAGCCTTGGAGTGTCTACCTGAGTAAAGCGAAGATCTGGGATCTGTGGGATTTACTAAAAAATATAGTATTTAAAAAATTTTTAAGTTGAAAAGTATAAAAACAAAATGAAAATTGCCCCAACCTGCAAGGGACAATGAACCACTCAATAAATACAGCCCGTGAGGGGATGGGGTAGGTGTGAGTACAGAGCTGGAGCCCGGCGCTAGCGTGGCCGGTAGCAATAGACGCCATACTTGCGGCTGTGTGGGTCTGGGAAACCGAAGCTTCGGACCCCAGGCTCCAGGGACCCACAGTTGCGACGTGGGTGAGCCACAGGGTAGCGGGCACTGCCATCTGCCAGCCAACCAGCGTCGCAACGGTCCAGGCCGTGGAACTTCCAGGCGGCAAAGAGCTGGCCCACCTTGGCGATCTGGGCACCATCTTCCTGGCAGGCCTCCTTTGCCTCTGCCAGTGTCAGCTTCTCAGGGTGCTCCAGGTAGTACACCTGCCCTGTGGGATGTGGGGCGTGAGAGCTGCGCAGTGGAGTGGGCAGCCAGAGAAGGCAACAGGATGTGGAGCAATGCCAGCCCATCCAGACCCCACCAACCAGCCCCCAAAGACCTGACAGCTCTCTGAGCCTAGGGAGATGCCAGGCTGTGAGCATCTGCAGTGGATACTGTTGGGGGATAACCTCCCTCTCTGAGAGTGCCATCCTACCTGCCATGGGGCTGGGGTTCCTCCAGTCATATCGGTACACCACCCCAGCCTTCCCTAATTGCACCCTGGGTTGGTGCCCCACCTCTGCTGGACCAATCTGAGTCTCTCATTCACTCAGACATTTACTGAGCACCAACTATGTGCCAGGCACTTTTCTAAGTGCTTGGGATATGGCACGGAACCAATTTGTTTTTATTCATTTATCTTCCCATGAAATGAGCTCCTTTGTGAGGACGGACTGTGTTTTATTTGTCTATGATGACCAGTGCCTAGCCTTGGCCCCAGCACATAGTGGGCACTCAGGAAATGTTTGATGAATGACTAACCCAATGATTGGTGTGAAGCAACAGCAGCAAAGCACTCAAAGCTCAGCTGGGGGACTTCCCTGGTGGTCCAGTGGTTAAGACTCCACACTCCCAATGCAGGGGGCATGGGTTCAATCCCTGGTTGGGGAGCTAAGATCCCGCATGCTGCAAGGCGCGGCCAAAATAAATAAATAAAATAAAGAGCATCCCTAATGAACACCAGGAAACTTAAAAAAAAAAAAAAAAACTCAGCTGGACATGGCTTCAACATGTGTGGGTGCTCCAGACCTCCAGGTGAAGGTGCCAGCAGGGTGGGCAGAGAAGTCTGAAAGTTCCCCAGACACTGCCCTTCCACCCACAGGCCTGTGCTCAGCCATTCCACTCACCCCTGAGGGCAGCAGCAAAGCAGAATACATCATAGCGGTGCAGGCGGCGGTGGCGTGGGCCGTAGCTGCGCACGCCAGGTGCCAGGCCCAGGCCACCGCAGGGGTGGCGGGCCTGCGTGATGGGGTACTGCACAGAGGCGTCCTGCAGCCAGCCTGCGTTGCACCAGTCCAGGCCTTCCTCCCAGGCCCGGAACAGCTGCTCAAAGGAGGCCACCACCGCGTCCTGTTCCTCGCAGGCCCACTGGGCCTCGTGGAAGTTGAACTGGTAGCGCCCTTGGGGGTGCTGGTAAGGGAAGACCACACCTGGGGAGGGAGGAAAAAGCAGCTTGAATGGGTGGGCCGGGCCCAGCTGATTGGAGACCCAAACCTACTGGGACAGATGCTCCCCTGCACACACACACACACACACACACACACATGCACACACATGCACACACACACACAAAATCCCTCAGAAAAACTCTGTAAACCTGTCATCTCTTGTCCAATATCCAAATCTGAGGCAGAGCCTATATCTGCTTTACACCTCCCTGCCAGAGCTAGACTGGCACACAGCAGTACTCAGAAAACTATTAGCTTGTTAAGGTAATGAATTAATTAGCTAACTAATATCCCCAACTACAGAATGTGACTAAGGCCTAATTCACAGGGCTGTTGCAAGAACCCCAGTTCTATGGTCTTGATGTGTTCCCCCAAATTCAGATGTTTAAATCCTAATGCCCAATGTGATGGTATTAGGAGGTGGGGTCTTTGGGAGGTGATTAGGTCAGGAGGGTGGAGTCCTCATGAATGGGGTTAGTGCCCTTTTAAAAGAGACTCCAGAGACCACCCCCCACCCCCAGCCCCTTCCACCATGTGAGGACACAGCGAGAAGTCTGCAGTCTAGCAGAGGGCCCTCACTTGACCATGCTGGCACTCTGATCTGGGACTTCCAGCCTCCAGAACTGCGAGAAATGAATTGCTGCTGTTGTTTATGTTGCCCACACTGTGGTATTTTATTACAGCAGCCTGAGCCAAGACACCAGTGAGGAGGTACTGCCATCTACAGGAGAGGGTGCACTGTTGGGCTCTGGCTCTCCCTGTCGGCAGCTGAGACCTCATCATCTACATTAACACTAACATTAATGTGGAAGCTTCTTAGGAGAATACAAGTTTCCATGTGGGACAGACGGAATTCAGGAGAAGAGGAGGGATGGTAAAAGGTCTTAATAAAGGGGAGGCTCAAGGTCAGGGAGGTCCTGGGCAGGGGGCTTCCCTTTCTGGTGCCAGAGGCTTATAGGTACCATAGGCTCCCTCAAAAGTCACCATTCATGTTTGAAACTTTACCATAATAAAAAAAATTTTAAACACCCTAGATCCAGTCTCTACCAAGTCAGATGAAAACTTAAGGAGAGGTGGTGTCCCTAGTGCCTCGGACTGACATTGTTTAAAAGCAGGGCCTGGAGTCCTTAGAATCTCCTTCCTGTGGCCAGGGGCCTGGGAACATCTGGGCACCACACCCCCAATATCACCTGGGGCAGGAAGCCAGGCCCCTGGGCAGAGCCAGGTTGAGGGGGCAGAGAGGCCCCAGGGCCTCGACAACCAGCGCACAACCTCCATGTGTGTTTGCAGGGGGTTTATTTCATGCCTGGTTCCGTCCCAAATTCCCAGCCCTTCCAGCCACAGGAACACGGTGAGGGCTCCCTGTTTCTCTAGGCTGCTTCTGTGGTCCCCAGACAAATGGCTCTCACAGGCTCCCTCCCATCCCCCACCACCCCCAACGTCATAGGCCACCTCTGGGCCACCATCTAAGCCACGTGGACTGGGGATGCGGCTGCTGATGGCAAAGAGCTGCACTGATTGATAGGCCCTTGACTCACATTTACCCACATCTCCTCTAAGGAGGTAAAGGAGGAACTGCCCTTGTTCTTCATTTTACATGTGAGGGGACTGCAGCTCTGGGGGTGAAGCACTGACCCAGGTTACCACAGCTGGGATGGGATGGACATGGAGTCAGGTCACCCTTCTCTACATACCCCCAGCTGCCTCCCTAACAGGTAGGAGATATATGAGGACACACAGCCCCATCCTAGGGACAGAGAAGGTAGGAGTCATGTAGAGATCACAACAGGAACCCATACATAAGATCTAGTGTGTAGAGTTTGGCTGGCTTGCACAGCACTGGTTTGCTCTTTTTTTTAGTTAGATTTCACATAAAAACATAAGCTTCTCTTTTCAAATCAGAAAATCTGGCTGCACTAGGCCTGCTTCTGATGTGGCATCATCGGCTGGGCCTGAATAGAGCAGCTCCTTTCCGATGGGATGAGGGCTCAGGAGTGTGCCCCAGTCCCCACCACTCCCTATCACTCACCCTAGGCTGCCTCATTTGCTTGTGTTGCCTGCCAACCCTGCTTGAATCTCAGCTCTGTCTCCATCAGCTGTGTGCCCTGCTCTTGTCCCCCTCTCTCTGAACAGGATGTGAGCAAGAGGGAGTAGAGAGTAGTGGATTCTGGAGCCTGAGTGCCTGAGGTCAAAGCCCTACTCAGCCATTTATGAGCTGTGTGACCTTAGGTAAGTGACTTGACCTCTCTGTGCCTCAGTTTTTTCAGCTGTACAACGGGGGTGAGAATAAGAGCAGCTTCCTCCTGAGGTTGTTCTGAGGATTAAATGTTTATCTGCCGAAATCACAGAGGTTTGGATGCTTTCTCAGAGCCCTCTCCCTGCTGCTCCCAGGACCCAGCCCCCATAGGGGTCTCACCCCGCAGCTCCAGCTCCACCAGGCCACTTTCATCCTCCAGCCCATCAATGACCTCGCAGCGGTAGCGCCCATAGTCCTCCAGCCTCAGGTCCCGGATCTCCAGTGACACTTCACGCTCCCTCTCCTGCCACAGATGCACCCGGCCTCGGTAGTCTCCGAAGGCACGGTGCCTCAGCCCAATAGCCACTAGCACGTCCTGCTCCGGGGCCCCATTCTCCGACAGTTTCCACCATTTGATGCGTACGGGCCGAGGAGAGACCAGGGCCGGCTCGTAGTGGTAGCGGCAGGGCAGGGTCACGTTGGCCCCACGGTAGGAGAACAGGATCTCCTCAGGCGTCTCTACCACCAGCTTCACTCCATTGAAGATGCCTGGGGGGAGAGGCGGGTGCAGATGGGGACCCGCTGCAGCACGTCTGTACCCCTGCAAAGGCCAACCCACCCTCACTCCCAGATCCCACCAGGCCCAGAAGTTCTAGATTGCAAGAATGGCCACAGTGCTGCACCCCTCCCTGTATCCACACGCTCTGCAACGCAACTTTACATCTTCCATCAGGAGGTGACTCTACGACCCCTGCCCCCACCACCTTGAATCCTTGCTGGCCCTGCCACTTGCTTTGACCAAATGAATGTGGTGGAAGTGACTGCTCTGTGGTGCTTGCTCTGAGCCGAGGCTCCAGGAGGCCCTGCTGAGGCTACTCTTTCTCCCGGAACCTTGCCAACCACCATCAGAACAAGACTGGGCTCACCTGCTGGGTGAGAACACGCAGAGAGCAGAGACAAGCCATCCCAGCCGAGGCCATTCTAGACCAACCAGCCCCCAGCTGATCTGCCTGCCAACCACAGGCACGATCAATTAAGTGAGCACAGCCAAGACTGAAGAGATGGAGCCCAGCCCAAAATGCTGACCAAAATGGAATCATGAGCAAAATACATGGCTGTTGTCTTAAGCCACTAGGTTTGTTAGGTGTAAGAAGCAAACTGGTTATAAAGCAGAAACTAACACACCATTGTAAAGCAATTATACTCTAATAAAGATGTAAAAAAAAAAAAAAAAAAAAAGAAAACT